GGTTTTCTCTAGATAACGAGTTAATTTCCCAATGGTTTTCTCTACATAACGAGTTAATTTCCTGATGGTTTTCTCTAAATAACGAGTTAATTTCCCAATGGTTTTCTCTACATAACGAGTTAATTTCCCGATGGTTTTCTCTACATAACGAGTTAATTTCCAGATGGTTTTTTCTAGGTAACGAGTTAATTTCCCGATGGTTTTCTCTACATAACGAGTTAATTTCCAGATGGTTTTTTCTAGGTAACGAGTTAATTTCCCGATGGTTTTCTCTACATAACGAGTTAATTTCCAGATGGTTTTTTCTAGGTAACGAGTTAATTTCCCGATGGTTTTCTCTACATAACGAGTTAATTTCCCGATGGTTTTCTCTACATAACGAGTTAATTTCCAGATGGTTTTCTCTACATAACGAGTTAATTTCCTGATGGTTTTCTCGGGATAACCACTTAATTTCCCAATGGTTTTCTTGAGATAACAAGTTAATTTCCCAATGGTTTTCTCGAGATGAGTTAATTTCCCAATGGTTTTCTCGAGACGAGTTAATTTCCCAATGGTTTTCTCTAGATAGAGTTAATTTCCCAATGGTTTTCTCGAGATAACGAGTTAATTTCCCGACGTTTTTCTCTAGATAACGAGTTAATTTCCAGATGGGTTTCTCGAGATAACAAGTTAATTTCCCAATGGTTTTCTCGAGATAGAGTTAATTTCCCAATGGTTTTCTCGAGATAGAGTTAATTTCCCAATGGTTTTCTCGAGATAACGAGTTAATTTCCCAATGGTTTTCTCTAGATAACGAGTTAATTTCCTGATGGTTTTCTCGAGATAACGAGTTAATTTCCCGACATTTTTCTCTAGATAACGAGTTAATTTCCCGATGGTTTTGTCAAGATAACCAGTTAATTTCCCAATGGTTTTCTCTAGATAACGAGTTAATTTCCCGATGGTTTTCTCGAGATAACGAGTTAATTTCCCGATGGTTTTCTTGAGATAACGAGTTAATTTCCCGATGGTTTTCTCGAGATAACGAGTTAATTTCCCAATGGTTTTCTCGAGATAACGAGTTAATTTCCCGATGGTTTTCTTGAGATAACGAGTTAATTTCCCGATGGTTTTCTTGAGATAACAAGTTAATTTCCCGATGGTTTTCTCGAGATAATGAGCTCTGGTTTTCCTCTTGGAGACAGCCTGGTCCCCTCAGCTGGTCACTGATGAGGTTTACTATCATTACACAGGCTGAAATAACACTTTGTCTTGTACAGATAACTTTCATATCAGCCCTCATCATTTAAGGAGACGGCTGGCCCGACTGCAGCTCAGCCGGTGTTTGCACAGTCATCCTGCTGATACAATAAACCAGCTGAGGGGACCAGGCCGTCTCCATGGCTACAAAATGATGCACAGGAGGAAAACCAGAACTCGTTATCTTGAGAAAACGTTCATCGTTATATGTTATTATGAGAAAACCATGGAAAAAATGATCTGCAGAAAACGTCCACTCTCAGATTCTGTAGTCATCTATTAACAGCTTAAAGCTTTTATTTTGAAGGTGAAGCTTAGCTTTCCTGGTGTTGTTTAGCTGAAAGGTCCTAGCTTGTTTTATCAGAACGTTAACAGCTGTTAGCAGGTAATAACCAGTGAAATAATCGTTCAGCCCTGCTTCCTGGGCATGCTGGCTCCAGTATTTAACTTCCTGTTTGTGACTGACAGCAGGAGCAGGAAGTGCACCTGGTTTGTCCTAACAAGACTTCACAGGTCTTTAAAGGGCGACTGCTGGAGGTTCTGACTTACGCCACCATGAGGTCCGACTCCTCAGAAACCAACGCGTTCTTCTCATGGACCAACTGGATCCACTGTTCAATGGTGTCAGGGGAACCATTGTTGCCTGGATCAGAAAAAACAACTTATTGTTTACAAAAATAATAATAACGTAAACATCTTTACAACAGGAAGCAAGACAACATCTACAGCTTTGACAAGTAAAGTTCAACAGTGTAGAGTTATCATTTAAGATAAAGGCATCCCATCCAAGTCAACTACATAAAGACAACAACTGTTTACACTTGATAAGTTTTTTAAAGATTCCCAGGCTCCTTTGTTCTTCACGAAAAACAGACTCAACTAGTCTTTACAAAGTGACTTTCATTTCTTTACACAAAACAAAACAAGTTCCCTTTTCTTACCAGACTCTCCTCGGAGACATCTCTCCAGCTCCACACCTTTGTCCTCCAGGTCTTTATACGACACCTCGATCTCCTCTAGTCTTCTCTGGATCGACTGGAAAACAAGGAACACACTGTAAACAAGTCTGTAAACAAGTCTTTAAACAAGTCCTTAAACAAGTGTGTAAACAAGTGTGTAAACAAGTCTTTAAACAAGTCCGTAAACAAGTCTGTAAACAAGTCTGTAAACACGTCTGTAAACAAGTCTGTAAACAAGTCTTTAAACA